TTTTACAAATAAGTGTATCCTTAACGGACAGGCTCCTTGAAAGACACACAACAATATATGTGTAAATGCAAATGTATGCTCTTGTTTGTGGGGAGGGGGACCCTAGAAACACTGAGAAGGCTAGAACCATAAAGATCTAAAATATCCTAACAGACAATCATGTTCTGGCAGTGTTTTGTTTCTGATTGTTCCTGTTTTGCAGATTTGAAGGTGTATGATATAGATAGCATTCTCCATCATATTCAAGCTCATCCACTATAGACATAGGATTTGGAAGTGGTTCGCAATACCTCAAACATTTGCAAAGCTTGTTTGATGAGAGGCAAGAAATGAACGTGGGTATTCCACAATATTCCACAACAGAGTGATGCATAGTACCTAACACATACTGGTATACAATCTTCAGTGACTTCTAATATCCTATATGTGTATATGCAACCCTCTCTGATTTTTTTTTTATTTTGGATTTATATCCTGCCTTTTTCCTACAAAGGGCTCAAGGCAGCTTACATCATTCTCCTCCTGCATCTTATCTCCACAACAACATCCCTGTGAGGTAGGTTGGGCTGAGAGTCTGTGACTGGCCCAAAGTCACCCAGTTGGCTCCATGGCTGACTGGGGACTAGAACCCAGGTCGTCTGAGTCCCAGTCCCATGCTCTTAACCACTACGCCACACTGGGGAGTGCATGTAGAATTTCATTCTGAACGTGTTGTTAAACTGGGAGAAATTACTGAGGATAAATAGCAACTCTAGTGCATTGGGATCTTTAGCAACCACGGATCAGCTTACAGGCACAAGTCAATGTACTGGTTTTACCCTTTAAATGGCCTGGCTCCAACCTGCCTGAGGAACCAGTTTCACCAGTGACGTGCACCGATGTGCTTGAGATTGGTAGCAGAACTTTTGCTCCAAGTGCCTCTGAGAAGAGTTTCCTAATAGCAGAAGCAAGACATTTTCTAGCCACCATATCAGGGCATGTCCTTCAGAGGGTGCCAGTTTCTGTTGCAGGTAGACGAGGCAAAGCTGGTGAAGTATAAAATGGAATTTAAATATATTTTGAGCTCTGTTTAAGATGTTTATATACTGAATATAACACTACACACACTTTTAGTTCTCAGCCCCTCCTTGCCGTATGTCTTCCTCCATTTTATTGTGCAAATGATGGGGGCGGGGAGAGGCAGTGCTTAGAAATCCCAACTTGAAAAGTGTCATTGCTAGAAGCAAATCATCTCATTTGCCCTACCTCAAAATCTGACAAGGATGTTGAACGAAATGCTTTTAGTATATGGCTTTACTCTGGTGAATTAGGGTTGCAAAGGCATTTATTTTAAATGAGCAGCCCTGGTATGAATCTTTTGTGGGATGCATCTTCTGTACTCAGAAGTTTTCCATGTGGGCACATAGCGAGGTAGCACCTTTTTGAGAGTAACAGGAAAGATCAAAGGGTAACACTCATTTATGTGTGCACTCTGAGACACAGAAGACAAGAAAAATGCCTTGTGGTAAGAGGTGTGAAACCAGCTGTCCTCCAACCATTGCCATTTTTAGTGGGTGCAAATAAAGTGTGGGCAGAAAGTTAAAGACACACACCTACCTATGCATTTGTTAGATCTATGAAAGTGGCACTTCAGCCAGGCAGTGTGAGGGGAAAACCAGATAGTCCTGGAGCAGGAAGGAAATGAGTGTCATTTAACAATATATTTCCACTGAACTCAGGAGAAATAGTTGTTTCCAAGTAAGTGTGTTTACACTCTGTACATATCACCAATACTACCAAATAAACAGTATTAGCATCTACTAGAACAAGTAATGGTGGAGACAGGTCCTGCTGTCACTGCAAAATTTCTCCTCGTGGCGTGTGGGTGACTATTTCGCAGTGATAGAGGACTTTGGATATACAGAGGGATGTAACTACCAACTGAAGCAGGACTTGGCTTCTTCTCCAAGCCTGGTCTTCAGGAACATGCTGGGTGTGTAATCACATTTCTAGCTTCTACTGTATTAGCAAACTACTAGCATGCCATACTGGTTAGAACTGGGGGTGTGGGAGGTCCAAGTTCTAGTTCCCACTCAGCCCTGAATCTTACTGGGAGACTTAGGACCCATAACTGTCTCTCAGTCTAGCCTGTCTCACAGGGTTGTTGTGAGGATAACATAGAGGACTGTGGAAACCACTTTGGCTTGTGACAAGCGGAAAAGACACAGGATGATAATACCTGGAAATTAGCACCTTGCACATACTATCTTTATACATGATCACATAGAGTGAAGTATTTGTAAATTCACAAATACACTTGTATAAGTAATGGTAACTTGACTGGCCTCCTACTGAGTTCTCAATTATTTGGTGTTACAGTGATACAGACTATGACAAAAATTTCATCCCCTAATTTCAACTCATTTAACTTTGCAAGGTTTTGTTCTTGGAGAGCACATTTGAATATTTACAGCTGCAAACTATGTGTATGATGCACACCTGCTGTTCTGTTTTGGAAAGGGCTTGTGCTGCTTTGCATTGTCCCCAGTAGTTATCCCTTCTCCATAGTCGGTCTCTTCAGAGGAGTTATTTCAGACTGCCATTTGTCTGCCCCAAGCAACTACTGCATTTGTACCCAAGAGGAAGGTCTTCAGGAGTTAATGTAGCAATACACTTCTTGCGACATAATAATCCTAGTAAGAAGGGGTTTGAGGCGCTATCTAGTGGTCAAAAAAGGAACAGCATTCAACAGCTGCATTTCAATTAATTGGTTTGGGGGGAACTACTTCACAGCAAAGGTCCTGTTCCTATTCCATATGACATGGGTTCCCTGAAAGAGTTGAAGAGTGAAGGTATGAAAACGCAAACACAGGGAAATCTTTCATGGAAGATCATGGAAATTGTGTCATGCTTTTATTGCCTATTTCCAGCACATAAAGAAGGCCTCTAAATATTAGATGTCAGTGACTGCAGTAGAAATTTATTTTGGTATTAACTGGGAAACAGTCCCCTTTCCTTAAATTCAATAATTTAGATCCAAAAAGTGCCTTGCAGGAGCTCTGCTCAAGGAAAATGCCCTGCACCCTATTTTGGAGGATCTTCTTTTCTTCAGCAGGGTCCCCAAACTTTGAGCAACGTTCTAGGGAGCTGTAGGAACTGTTCTGAGAGCAGTGAGGTCTTCTTCCACCAGCCCAGTTGCACATGCTTAAATCTGGAACTCCATGAATTTCAGAGATTTTTGTGTAAATGCACATGCAAGCATTTTATTGAAGATACTGTTAAGTAGAACTGTGTGGCTACACTAGAACATAAAGGCCACTTGCAGTGCAAAGAAGGACTTGCCATAGTGAATCAGCAAGTCCAGCTTGTGAGTTTGGAACATGCACTTTCGGTTTGCATTTACAACTCTACTTCCTCCGAACTCAAAAATTCTGAGCCAGTGCTTCTCCATTGCATGCACAGTGTGCTTGCTGTTTTCTGCTGTATTTCCTAAAAAGCTCAGAAATCGAAGTTTCCAGTGTGTAACCTGGTGTTAGTGAAAAATGTTATTGCACTCTGGTGTAGCACAGCAGAGACCAAATACATCTGCTTTCATTTACATCATCCTGGGCAGTGTTGTAATTGATGTCAAACTGACTGTATACAATTCTGGGAAAAATGGCAGTTAATCATTGCTAGAATGCAAGGGTAGCAAGAGCTCACAATTAATTCTGAGATTTAAAAAAATACAGAAACAAGCTAATTGAATGAGGTGCTCATTTTTACTTTTAAATCTGTTAAAGTGAATACATAGAAGCCAACATATTTATCTTATCCCTCTGATGGGCAAATGTGTAATAGTTTGCTCTTGACTTGACAACCCAACACCAGCTGTTGTTACATGCATTCTCAAAGTTCTGGCCCCATGCTTACTGAAGTATTTCTTCTGGAAGTTTAATTGTAGAAGTTTACAAAAACATATTACTACAAAAGTATCCTTCTGAGATGACTCATCCTCAGGGAGAAAAAAAGAGATCTCTGGTATATAGAGTTCTGGGGTGACCCTGTTTGTGGGCACTGGCAGGACAGAGATGATAGATATTACCAGAGAGTCCTACTGAAAACAAGGTAGGACTGGAGGTGTCACCATACCCTTGCCTTCAAAGACTTTTAAAATCAAGCAGCCACAAAACTTATAAATAGGTTGGTACCATTATGTATTATGAACAAATGAGAACGTATTAATTCAGCTCTTGAGCTTCGATGCCTGTGTTTCTTTGTTAAGACCAGAAGTTATAGCATGGGTACACAGAATATTTGCCTTTATTTTTTACTTTGCTATGTCTGATTCTTTTACATTTCTCAGGTCCCACTGTGGCCCCCACAGCTATTTCATTATTTTTGTGAAAAAGAAAATAAAGGACTGTTTTAATTAAACCTTAAGCAGAGCTTCCATTTCTAGGCAAACTGTAGACTCTTAGTTTTTTTAAAAAAAAGTTTAAGTCAAAACTATTGAATGGGACTGATAATGAACTCTAGAACATTTTGGATGAAAGAAAACAGACCCTTGGAAAGTTGATTATTTTTCAAGACTGTCCATTCAGAAGCAGTTAATTTGAATATGCAAACAGCTAATGCATACTGGGTAGCAGGCAAGAAAGACTTTGGGGCCTGCTCTCCTGATGCCCCACCCTGAGCCAACTTACTACTTACAGGTAGGATACGATAAAAGAGATTATGCAAATGAAAAAAAATTGTCAAATGGCAGTAGACAGGTATACACAGCCCACCTACCAGTTTTGATAGTCTACAGCAGCTCTACTAAATGGCAGTCAAGGTCTGGAAGAAGTTGTATGCAAAAGATGCTTTCCTGCTTTGTAATACTGCATTGCAATCAAATTAGGCAGATGGTTGATTATTGTACATATCTGTATGTGATGCGTGAATATGTGTAACCTGATGGCAAAGCCCCTTGTTATTTCAAGGTTAAATGCAAAAAGCTATTTCAAGCTGCAAAAGTGATTAGTTTAATAGAAACATAATACCCATGCACTGAAAACTTTATTTAGAACATGGAATTTGTATATCAGAACAAATTCTTTCAAATCTAGTTTTTTTCTTAACAAAAATTTACATTAAAGCTACACACAAAACTGCACACAAAAGATTTATGTTTGCTTCTATACAACATATGCAATAGGAAATTTAACTAATAAACCTTAAAGACACTTTTCCCAGGAAAACCATGTGGATAAAGATGTTCCATTTTACAGTGGAAAAACCTTCCCTCTTTTGAAGTCTTGTACTACCATCAATACGTTTTCACTTGAAAGGTACAGTTGAAAGTAAACTCCCAACATTTTAAATAGAATATACTTACAAGTAAGTCATCTTTCCATCATAGCTAGATTTATATTAGTATGATCCATTCTACTTTCACTTATAAAATGGATACATTGCAGAACTGTACAATCTGTTTGAATAAATACATGATTTACAGATATACAAAGACACCACTTTCCAAATTTTTAGTACTGGTTTTGTTCTGCAGATAATTACTCAATATGTGTGTAGAGTCTATTCTAGCCATGTCCTATCTACATTCAGCAAAGCAAGTCTCTTCCATTCCTATAGCAGAGAGAGGCAATTATTCAATTTACTCAGTAGAAAATATTCAGTGTGGTTTTGTTTTATTATGGATCACTGGGGCAAAACCCTTTTAGAGTCAGCAGCTGCTACTGCTTATAGAAACTATTGTTATAAAGCAACCCAAAATGTTCTTTTTCTGAAAGAACTTGATTGGCAGATAGAACTTCTCTGATCGAATAAGAGAGAACAAACACAAGATCACTCTCAGAGACGTCTTCACTTTCTTCCAAATGGATCAGACCATACTTTTAATCCTGGGGGGGGGGGGGGGAGAAAACATCTTAACTTGTCACATCATCTTTTCCATACTTCAGTAAATGTGCATGTTCTATGTACACAAGTGAAAGTCAAATAACTTGGCTCCAACCCTAGGATGCAATCCTGTAGCAATGATCATAAGCCCCTGAATTCAGCAGTTTACAATCAACCTATCCAGAATGAAAAGGAGAGCAGAGATCTTCTTTGCCACTTTGTCCTCCCGTTCTGCAGTTTTGCTAGACTGGCTTTTCTGCCTAGCAAGAGTACTTCAGAGATGGAAGGATGGATGCTGGAGAAGCCTTAGGATAATTTGTAGCCCAGCCTTTCCAGTCTCTTCTCCCCTCTGACTGGCATGTTCCCTGCTACCTCTCTCTGAAGTTCTTTTGCCGGCATGGTTGATTTTGTGCTGGCTGCAATGTGGAGTGGAGAACACAGGTTTTGACCTTGGATCTGGAAAACTATTCTATGACCCCTCAGATACTATCTAGGTGCCACAGGATTGCTACCTTAACTGTTTTTCATAAAAATGCATACAAGAAAATACCAATCTCTTACTTTTATTTGAAGGAAGAAAAGGACTCAATATACACAACAAAATCCATGCATTTCTATTTGACTCACATTATGCATTTTTTTTAAAAAGGAAAACCAGACCAAACTTATATTTTGCTAAGCTATCATTTTAGAAGTGTACTACAGCTGAGATGTTGTCCTAAATGAATCTCTTTGCATGTCAACATCTTTGGGACTGGAATGGAATTATTACATAACTAACAGAAAAACATTTCAACAGAACTTTTAGAGATATACCTGCAGGCTGAACATCTTCTTGGATGATACCAGCTCGATTTATTGCTTGCTGCCTTTCTGACAAACACAAAATACTAAAGTGGGTAAGAAAGCACATTTATGTTGGGCAAATTTGCCCAAATATTTATAAACATGTGGTAAGAGGGTAATGGTGAATATCAGCCTGCTTAAAACATTTATCCACCCCAACCGTTTTTCACAAAAGACATAAATGTTCAGGAAGAAGCAATAAAACAGAAAATGCTATTTATAAGAAAATAATCTCATCCTAGTTATATGTTTGAAACAGGCAATAGCAGTGGAGAGTCACTGTGGCATTTCGGTTCAGATGTTCAAGCAGAATCACTTCCCCACATTGCCATGAAGATTACCGGGCAACTTTGTGTTAGTCATGGACTCTCAGTCTGACCTACCCCACAAGGTTGTTCTGAGGATAAAATGGTGGATTGTGTAAACTTCCTTGGGTTTCTTGTAAGAAAAATAAAGAACATAAATATAATAAATAAAGACACAAGGACTATAATTTCCCATAAATTCAGGGTCTAGCCAGTGTTTGCCAGACAACTGATAGACACTGATACGTAAATCAGCAAATGAAGCCACATTTATCAGCATTTATAAGCCACATTTATCAGCAATTGATAAATCAGCAAATGAAGCCACATTTTTAGAATGTTACTTAGGAGTTATTCCCTGCCCCGGGAATTTGCACCTTCTTTGTAAATTTTCTAGAGCCTTCTGAAGACCTTGTTTGATTTGCTTGGTTTTGCTCTCTCCAGAAGTTGATCAGTGTCTTCCCCTGCCTTTTTTTGTTTTGAAATTGTAACACTATTTTTAAATTGTGGTATTTTTAGCTTTTAGTATGCACATTATGGAATAAAAGTTCTTCATGAATCTTTGAAGCTAAGAAATTATTAAAATAAAATAAAATATAACTAGTCAGTTCTTAGGCTGCAATCCTATACATGCTATCCTAGAACAAGTACCACAGAACTCAGTGGGGCTTACTTCTGAGTAAAAATCTATGGGAATGAACTGGTAATTTAACTGGAAGTCTTGCTGGAACAAACTAAGCACCCCAAGCATATTGCTAGTTTTAAAGCAGGATTCTGGATACCAACTTACCAGGCATTCAAGAATTGCCTTTAGGCTGGCAAATGTTACACAAACTTTACAAAAATGAGTTGAGACCGTAACCAGCAAAGCAGGTAGAGTGGACAGACTAAACAGACTTCTCTTTCCCCTAAGTGGGGGGTTAGCGTGTTGGCACTATACATTGTATTCCAATTTGGCTCTGGGAACAGACTTAAACTAGTTGATGGTCCCTGTTGGTATTATTTGTTTAAAGCTTGATTTCAGAGCAGAGCCGTATTTCCATAACTGTGACAGGAGAGCATACACATAGGAAACATATACCAGTGAATTTCAATCCTTTCCTTCACTTGCAAGCATTCTGAATGAAAATGACATGAAAATGTATATTGGCACCCGATATAAATGCTGTTGTATGTTGTATTTTAAATGTTTTTTTTCTTTTAAATTGTTATATTGTTATATTTATGTATTTTTTTATTTTTTGTGAGCCGCCCCGAAGCTTTGTTGTGATGGGGGTGGCACAGAAATGTTTTAAATAAATAAATAATACTTGGGAATCAGACCCAAGAATGATTTTCAATCAGCTGCAGGAATGGGTTTCAACTGCACAAAGCAAAATAGCTGCAGTGGTCATTAACCAAAGGAAATACTGAGAAACATGTGTGTATGCTATGGGGTAGTGTTGGTGTTCTATCTTTTCACCAAGAATCAAGATCAGAATTGCTCATTACCCCAAATCAGTAACTGGAGGAACTGGCCTCTCAGGGAACCAAAGAAGGCATACACACTATCACGTGCAAAGAATGCGAAAGTTTTGCATTGCATTTCTACATAACTGGGAAGAGGAACCAGCTTCCCAAACACATCACATCCAAATAGATGGTGCATAGTTCTCACAAAACAAACATTTGCATAATATTTTCATAGGGCAATGGATGCAACTTTTCTTACAACAGGTGCGATTTTCTTGCCTACTCTTGGTTGCCTTACACACACACACGTGCGCACACCTGCCACATAATGGCTGCACCATTAGTGTGTTACTTTAATATATCATTGTTCACCAGCCAATCACAAAGGCACCTATATAACTTCTTTTCTAATTTTTCTATGAGCTGACTGGAAGCTGAACTAAGCAGCTGTTGGATCTGCAGCTGTGGGCTCAAGTTAGAAGCTGAACCAGGGTAACTGGACAGTCTAAAAGCATTTTTAAAAATACAAAAAATTGTACTGGGAGGAAACATTCACATTTTGTGAACATTCATATTTTCTGCTCTGTAAACAAATCCTTCAAAATGTAAAGAATGTGCCCTGAAGCCTATTAGGCTAGACATGCACATGTCCTGAGTGGAGCTGGCTGGAGCCAGGGATCAGACTTGATGGCCTGGGAGACCCCTTCCGACTCTATTTCTAAGCCAGTTTTAATTGTTGAGCTTCTCTTTACTTACAGCACCAAAAATCTTAAGGACATGCTAAGAGCCCTTCTGGATCAGACCAAGGGCCTGTCTAGTCCAACATTCAGTTCACACAGTCGCCAACCAGCTGTCCACAGGATCCCATTAGTGCGACAGCATCCTTCCATCCATGTCCCCCTGCAACGGCTTTACACAGGAACACTGCCCCTGACACCGGAGGTAGCACTGGGCCATCAGAACTAGCAGCCGCTGGCAGCCTTCACCTCCATGAATCTGCACAGCCCCCTCTTAAAATTATTCAAAGGGGTGACCATCGCTACATCTGTGCAAGTTTCTTTCCTGGTTCAATAAGGTTTTGGTTTTGCATCTTTGCATTTCCAGTTTGAGTTCTAGGGAGAGCTCTGCTCCGGGGATATAAATGCGAAGTGTGCCTCTCTTCCACCTGCCCGCCGCGTGGGAACAGCGTGCAGCGAAGGCGACCCGAGAGAATGGCAAAGGGGGACCGGCGAGCGCCAGGAGCGAAGGCGAGGGACGCGCGTGCGCAGACGCCTCCTGCCCTGACTTACTGTACTCCTCGAGGTGCTGGAGGGGCCGGAAGTAAATAGGGTAGAAGGCCGCCCCCACCATGGCCACGAACCCGCCGAAGATGAGGACCGTGCGAGTCAAGTGCGCCATGAGCAGACGCTGGGAAAGGGCGCCGCGGTCACTCACCCTCAGCAAACACCACGAGAAAAGTATTTCCGCTTCCGGATCCGGAGGGGAGGGGAGAAGGCACGCTCCGTTAGCGCCCCTCCCACTCGGCCGTGAGCCACCGCGAGCGAGTTCAAATACGGCGCCAGAGGTGGGCTCTTCTGTAATGGTGTTCTTCCCCGCCCCCTGGTGGCCGCAGCCGGCAGGATCCGAAGCATGGCAGGACTAGCGGCAGAAAGGAGAAACAAAACCTAGAGTTGTGGCTCGAGCAATTGTTCCAGCCAGCCATGTGCAAGCTCGCGGCAGTACTAATTGTGGCACTCTGCCTCTTGAAAACTGTCCATTTGACGCACCAAGATGAGAAGCCTTTATCTCTGGACACTGGAAGGATTAACAGAGTACTTTCTAGTCTTCTGTTAATAGTATTTTAAAATAATTCTAGGCCAACTTTTAAGGCAGTTCAAACTTCTCTCTGTGCCCCAAAACAATTTTTGTATTTTTTTTATTGTTATGCTACCCAGTTACCTACACAATGACAAAATGATAATGCAAGCAAAAGTTCATAAAAATAGACATAAACAATTACATATCTGGCCTAAATGTTTGCTAGGCCATATGCCTCATAGTTTATAATATACTATAAAAGCAAAGTTCATTGCTTTTATAGTATATGACAGAAGTAAGTTACCATCATGTGAAATACAGAGTTTGCCACATGTCAGTGTCATATGACCAAGGGTAGAGGCATGCTTGGTATCAAATACTGGCAATTCTGTTTACACAGATAATAGTTCCACCCTATTTCATGAGAGATAGCAAGGCCCCAAGATTTCGTCCTATTTAAATCTAGAATAAAATTAAGTCTGTGAGCTGATGGTCAAAAAAAGCCAAATTAATTAAGGGTCAAATCTAAACTTGCAACCCAATCTTAATCATGCATATTGATATTTCAGAGGAAGTGTGTAATTCACATCCAGGTCATCAGTTCATTCAGATATTTTGCCTGTACAACTATGAAAACATAAGTTGCTTCAAGAAAACCAAAATACAGAAAGATCAAATAGGTGGGGGCTTGTTCCTCTCTCTCTCTCTCTCTCTCTCTCAACTCTGTGAAAGTTTTTGTATACCTTGGCTCAATTATCAATGCAAAGGAAGATTGCAGCCAAATGTAACTCGAAAGTATTTCCAGATCTAGGGATCGTCTCCAACTAGACAAATCAGAATGCAATAAACTGCAGGTTCAGTCATACATAATGATGCACGAGCACCCATCTCAAATGGCCTAGACATGTCCTCTCCACCAAAAATGACCTAGGATCATTTCCACTTTCCACTTATGTCTGAATGGACACAGGAAAATGTTGTAATGATACCAGCAACCCCACAGGAAATAATGAAAAGATCAAAACTGGAAAAAAAACTAAGCAGCAAGGGATCTTTGAGCATGGAGAGTATTTATGACTTAATATAGTTTTCATCTCAAAGCATTTATTCTGGCTTCAGCTCTCTAACACCACCTCAACCTTTGTGTGGAATACTTATACCACTATAGTTAGTCTATATTCAGCTCTTGAATGAGATGCTATTGATTTTCTAAACTCTCTTCACATTGAATTGCATATGAGACCAGTTCTGCTTCCTATGTTTTTAACCTTGACCACTGCATCCTGATAGAGAAATGGACCATATTTGGAGGGAAGGGGGAAATACTTGCATAGGCTAAGGATAGAATGACCATGCAATAGCTCCTGAACATTCCTTCAGCTCTGATGTGCATGTCATTTCCTGGCTGCACAAGCGTTTTTTTTCTCTTGACACTTAACATATTACTAAATTGCACATTGAAAAAAGAGGTGCAAAAAGGATTAAGCAAAATGAATATCAGTTATTATGAAAGAATAATTAAAGGAGTGGTGCTGCTAGATATCTTAGGACCCTGTTGCTGTTCATGTGTGTTCTGGTTAAAGTTCCTATTGTCTCTACCCAGTATGACCTTTAGCCATTCATTCATTTATTCACTACTGTATTGCTTGTAGTATCTATCATAGTAACTCAGGTCGTGCATAATATGTTAGTTGGCACAAACCTTTCTTGGAATATAGCATTTGAAAAACACACTGAGGTATGTGAAGTGACAACTAGAACTAACTGTATGTTTATTTATTACCTTTTTTTACTTTGTTTTCATAGTGCGCAATAGCCAAAACTCTCTGGGAAATTCACAACAATTAAAACCATAAAACAGCACTTGAAAAAATACAGTATAGGTTCAAATGTTTAGAATGGTAGTATAAAATAAAACACAACACTCAGGTCTGCAAGCAAGCCTTGCAAACAAAACTGCTTTCTATTGACACATTGCAAACTTATATGCCTGAAATGGAAGATAGGGCAAGAAGCCAACAAGCTGAGAGCTCTCTGAAAAGTGCTTTGTCCCTGAACCAAACCGCCTGTAGAATTGGAGCCCTCATGCTATAGTGGAGTGGGAAGGGTAGAATTTGGAGTTGTTTTGGAAGGAGGAGTTTCTGGAAGAGGCTTTTGAGAAGTCGGTCATTGCAAAGGAGGGCAAGCATGTGGTTGCACTGGTAGTGTCCTGCTGGTGTTCTCAGAGTCTGAACACAAAACAATTCATCTACCTTAAGGGGGGAAAGTATTACTATCCAACAAACTGGAAGAATATTGACATCAAATAAACCTCCTGAGGTAGATGGGCTCTTTGTGAGATTGTAGGAAGCTTTATTGAAACTTTATTGACTCAATTGTATGTGTTATTCAATGCATAACCATAAGCAGCTCCCAACATCTGGATTTAGGGATCAGAATTTAAAACTCTAGGCCTAAAGGTGGGCAAAAGCCCTCATAAAACTAGCAGCAGAGTTTTACATGTTAGAATTCTACTCATTATTCATAGTTGCAACCACATAATATAGACATAACTTTTTTCAGATTCCATTTCCCTGCACTGACATTTGGGAATCTACTCTGCTTACCTTACTGTTTGATTGTACTAGGAGATTACGGTGTGACATCTATAAGCTGTGTTGAGATATAATTCACTCAGGCTAGACAAGCACACTTCAGGGAATAACAGTGCTCATCTCCAGCACACTGTGGGAACAGGCAGGAATAATCCTGAAGTAATAACACCAGCAATCAAAAACATTAGGCAGCTTGTGACATACCACTATGAAATGGCTGGTTTTACTTGCATTAGAAATTCTGGAAATGCTACTGAGAAACTGCTAATCCAACCTCTCTCAAAGCAATCTAAGATGTCTTTTGATATAATGCCAAGTAAAGAGCCACCAAAATGATTAATGGTATATATATAAATAGGAATGTAGAAATGTAAACAAGTAAGAATTAGACTGTATTAAAGAGGAAACATGCAAAGACACAAGCAGGTGCCCAATGAATTCTGAGCAATGGATATGAATAACTCATTGGAAAGGGATGTTAATTAATGCCCATCATTTAAGGTCAAGAGTGATTTGAAGAATGAAGAGTTGTAAAACTCCTTAATGTTTGAAGAGTGTTGTGTAGTAAAGCAATATTACTTTATTACTCATGGTCAAAGATCTGCTTTACTTATCAGTTAATGGCAGATAATGAATGATGAATAAATACTGTACAAGGTATACACCATCAGGTCTGAAATATCAGGGTTTGGGAATAACTGTTAGGTTTTAAGTAGTAAATTCTGTAATAGGAGTTGTTTTTTTCAAAGATGGGATTTAGAATCAATCTTAACTAGCCTGAAAAATAATCTTAAGCATTTTTTTGTGCTCTAAGGTACAATTCAGTGTGTGTTTAAAGCAAAAACTAAAAAAGGTCAACAACTTGCAGCATGCCGAGCCTTCCAGTATGTCCAACTAACTAATCCTACTTAGTACAAAACCAAAGCGGGATGAAATTAGTGGTGCACTCTTTGTTTGAAGTATTTAATGCAGTATAGACCATTAACTGGTAGCCACAGACTTCCTAAATACAGAAATATAATTAAATTACATTCAACAAGGCAATATATTTAACAAGATATTCTGTCTTTTCTTCAAGAGAAGTGGTGGAAAAATATATGAGGGTTATGAATGGAAGACATCCTCTTGACCCCCTCATAAAATTAGATTGCAAAATGAAAACATTGTCTGGAAGCATCCTTTAACTGGATAAGAGCATACAAAAGAGCTGGTTCAAGGCAGACAATATTGATACGGGCTTTCTATACAAGCTAGCCAATGTATCTTCTTTCAGTTTCATGACAGCATTATGTAAGTCTTTTCTGCTTTTCTGCTAGGTAACCTCTGGATGGCACTGTAGTACAGCAAAATAATGCAAATAAAATCATTAGAACCAGTATTTTCTTTCTCCCATCAACACTAATACCCCATTTTCTCTGCTCTAAAATACTTGCTAAAATTGCTGTTTACAAACAGCAACAAAATTAGGGGGTCATAACATTGTCTAAAGAACCCATAAACAACCATGAATTGGGACTGGCAAGCTCACAATGACTACTTTGTGTAGAAATGATCACATTGTATTGGGTGAGCAAGAGAGAGGTGGAAAAACCAGTCACAGCACAGCTTTTATTTTTTATTTTACTTGCAGTACTGGCTGCTGTTGTTATACTGTATGACGTGCTATTATAAGTGAGCAGAGTGTTTTCCAGTAGATCCTGATCTATCCTTACCATAGAACATATGCAACACACTGCATTCTACAGTGCAAGGAAAGACACAGTCTAGCTGTCTTTTAGGGCAGTTTGTCTGCCATTACTTATCTTCTAATAGATCAATTGCTGAAGAAGCCTTTGGGTAGTCCAGACCAAAGAGTTAAACAATCACAGTTCTATGCTTTTTTGTTGCTTTCTTTCTCACAGTAAATGTTTGCATCATGCACAACTTAGTAGGAAGGGAGAGATTCATGACCAATGTTTTGGAGCAACAGAAACATATGTTGCTTTTTTTTTTAATAGAAATTTTATTAGGATTTTAAAACTAAAACTACAAACAACAATCATCGCACACACCGGATTTACTGGAT